CAGTGCGCTGCGGCACCGGGGCTGCGGGCTGGCACGGCACGGGGACGGGGGCGCCTGGGGGTTCTGGGGTCCCATCCAGGCTGGGAGAAGACGGTGCTCTGCTGGTCTCTCTGCCTGTCTTCCTCTCTACCATTTGCAAGCATCCACGGTTGAGCATTTCTATCTAAGTGTGAGAGGAGTCAGAGACTATTTTTTACTTTATCGATAATCAGAGATACCATTTAATTTAAACCAAATTAAACTGTAGTTGTTCAACCAACTCTGTCAGTAGTCACAGGTTTTGCTGTAGAAATAGGAGGTGTAATGCTTGGGCTTACAGAAGTGTGATGATCTACATGGTATGTCTTACTTTTTCCCTTTAAACTAGGGAAGACGTTCATACATCACTGGCTGTATGTCCATGGAGGTTATGGAGGCTGGTTTTGTTGCATGTTAGTTTCAAAGAATTCTTCTCTTCCAGATTCAAGCAATATGGACAGAGCTGAAGATCCCACAGTTTCCCCTTCCGGTTATTATTATGAAGACCAGTGGAGGTCCAGAACACACTGGATCCATCATTTTAACAAGTCAGATGATATAACCAAGTGCTTACAAGGAAAAGTAATCCACTTGTTTGGAGACTCTACAATAAGGCAGTGGTTTGAATATCTGACAGCATTTGTTCCAGGTTATTTAATTTTTTTTTAATTTGATTTTGTTCTAAAGACTTTTGCAAAGCTTTATTTCGCACATCTCGGGCACAGAGGTGATCTTACTGAATGACAGCGACAAGCAAAGGAAGAGGATAGACAAACCATCATCAGAAGTGCTGGCAGAAAGGCAGTAGTCAGATATTTGAGCAGACACTGGAAACATGCAGGGCTTGGAAACTGGGCCACAAGGTACCTGCGTAGTCGTCCTTGTAAAATGTTTCACCAGTGAGGACCACTGCTGTGGCTGTGAGTTACGGTGGCCACCCAGGGGCACAGCAGAAGTTGCTTAGGGTGCCTGCATAAGGCCTCGCAGCATCCCAGTCACACAAGTTGTTTTGAAATTAGGTAGCAAATGGCTTCTGTTACTGTTGATTGGTTTTGAACCCTTTCTTGTATTTGCTTTATTTTAACTTAAATAACAGAAATTTGGTAGCCAATTAGATATTCCTTACCCCTGAAGCGGTAAAGTTGTGTTGAACACAGACTTTGAGACTCCTTATTACCTACACATTGAAGTCATCTTTAAATTCGATCGAGTCTTCAAGTTGCCAGAAGGGTTTCCATGAACACTGGATTCGTAGGGCACCAATGACCGAAGGATTCTATCTGAAAAATTTGGGTTTTTTTCCTAGAGAGAGAAGAAAATAGTTTGGGAAACTTGGAAGAGGCATTGACAGCCTTGTGAAGTTGAAGTGTGCTGTCTTGCAATTTTCAGCACCCATAAATTCCACTTTGAAATACACAGCTAGCACGTGTATGACGCTCATCTTCTGTTTCATATTAGAGTTCTTAGAATTATGTTCAGATTTCCTTATCTACTGCTACTTTTGCCCTGTGGTCCTGGCAGCTTGTTGATAGTTTTAATCTCTTATGCCGTCTTTCACTAATGCTTGCTCTTGCATTTTCAGATCTAGTGGAATTTAACCTGGGGAGTCCTAAGAATGTGGGCCCTTTCATGTCTGTGGACCTGAAGCACAATATCCTACTGAAGTTCCGCTGTCATGGGCCACCCATTCGCTTTTCAACAGTCTTCAGCAGTGAACTGCGCTACATTGCCAACGAACTGAATGGCATAGTGGGTGGGAGAAACACGGTGATAGCCATAACTATATGGTCCCACTTCAGCACTTTCCCTGTGGAAGTGTATATCCGGCGGCTGAGAAACATTCGGAGATCAATTATTCAGCTGCTGGATCGCAGCCCCAAGACTTTAATCATCATCAGAACCGCTAATGTTCAGGAGCTTGGGCCAGAAGTGAGCCTCTTTAACAGTGACTGGTATTCCTTTCAGCTTGATTCTGTCATGAGGAAAATGTTCTCAGGAATTGCTGTGCACTTTGTGGATGCTTGGGAGATGTCTCTGGCTCATTACTTGCCACATAACTTGCACCCGAAAGAGGTCATTGTTAAGAATCAAATAGATACATTTTTATCTTACGTGTGCCCTCTGCAAACTTAGCATGAGTGGGTTTCCCTGTGTCATCTTTTGCTATAGCTGAAGTAAAGTTGCTCTTTGTTGGAGCCACCGAATTAAGCTTGATGGTATGGAAGAACTCTGGTTGTTGGACTTGCACGCAGTGTAAGCAGGGTGGCCTTAACTGGGTGGTAAAGAGGAGTTGACTGCTCAGGCCGTATCTTCTTATGAGGTTGATTCCTTTCAACCTTAGCATTCATATCTGAGATTATTAGAGAGCACCTTCAATTAAATTGACAGGATTCAATAAGAAATTATGTGGGTTATTAGCTTTACTAGTTGTCTGCACTGTGTGCTTAATTTAATCCATATGACACTGATTCTGTTGCCAGAGTCCTGCTGCTCAGAACTATGTGTGAAACCTGGGAAAGATTTTGGGAGTGATCTTTCTCTCAATGTTCCAGAGTTTGAGGGGCATCCCCTCCAGTTGTATGTCAGAGAAGCACAGTGCCAGTTGTTGTTTCAATGTCCTAGTTAGAAATATGAAGGAAATGTACCAAAATCACTAATATCAGTCAAGGAAGCACAAAGTATCTGTAGTATTAAGTCATCAAGAGTTGGCTGAAATTTAATAGAGCACACTAGTTAGGCACCCTTGGTGTTTACAGATGGCTGCTAAATAGTGCAAATAGCCAGTATTATAGTTTGGTTTCCTGAACTACTGAATCTCTTCTGAGCTTTGATACACTGTCTACTTCTTGATTTACCTGTAATGGAGAAATGTGTGTATTATGACCTCAGTGAAGACACTGGCTCGGGCAGTTCCTGCAAGTTGAAGTTGCAGGCTTGCCTACCTGAAGCTTGAAGCATTTACTAATGCAAGTGTTTCCCTTCCCTGTACGATAAAGCTATTCCGTTACACTCCTGCAAAACTGGGCTTCTGGTAATTACTCTTGTACGTGTTCCATACATTGTGTCTGTATGGAGAAACCAAGTGACGTGAAGATGTGCTTGATGATGTTTGGCAACAGAAACTGGCACGCACTAGTGTCAAGGCCATGCAATGGTGCTCCTTCTACGTTTGGCAGTTTTGTCATTTATTCAGGAGCTCAGCTGCTGCCAAGATAAAAGGTCAAAAAAAAAATGGCACTGAAAAGCCGAACACGCACCGGGTTGCCCTTCATACAGATGCTCGGTAAATGTTTGTGTCGCTGGTGCGAAAGCTGGTGGCTCTTGGGCATCTCGCCACAGTGTTCTCTGCTGCTGATTTGATTGAGCCTGTCTATGGCTTTGACTAGTAGTGCTTGGAAAACAAAGTTTTGATTAAATTCAGCCCCCGAATTAAACAGCAGAGAAGTGTTCCGTGTTGCCTCAGTTCTGGTCCCACTCAGCCAAAGGCTGTCTTTGCCTGCGGCTTTACTGAGACATGTGTCAATGCAGTCGTGGAGTCCTTCTCAAGAAGGTCATCACGCTTAAGGAGAATAGGAAAGTTGAGTCTTTGTAAGCAAACTGAGAGGATTAATAATGCAAATTAGTAGGCTGCACAGAGTGGAATAATTGAAATGTCTTCATCTTAGAGGTGTTTTACTCTTTGCCAGATTTGCTGCTACGTTAGGAAGGTTGTGCTCTTATTGCTGGAGCCCCAAGAGAGCTAATGCTACCAGCTGCAGGAACAGTGCTCTTCGTTCATTTTAAAGGACAACTGAGAACTGTTTTAAAAACAAACGTCAATGCTTTTAGCATGTGCAAGTTGTCAGTAGCATCCATCTCCAAACGTAGCAATTTTAAGACGTTTAGAAATGGCTGGAGGAGTCGCATACACTGCAATAGCACTTATTCTTAGCTTTTCAAATCAGGATTAAGGAGGTCAGTGTGCTAGTTCCTTCTGACAACTGCCTGCCATGGTATCTGTCCGTACAGGAGCTTTAGGTGACTATTTCTTACTTTGATATGTTAGTAGAAATATATCCTCTGCCAAAAAGAGACCACGCCAATTCAGGTCTGGGAAGGTAAACCACCACAATGCAAAATGACCTTTCATCTTTTCCAGGTGTGTTTTTTAAAAACAGAGAGAGTGTAAGGCTTTCATCCTGAATAACAAATCTATCCAAATAATGTTAATGAAAATAAGACTTCAGACTTTTAATTTGAAGTAAACTACTTAATTTCTGGACTAACCATTCGGTTTTCCTCATAAAGCCATACCATGTGTGAAAGTGTTGTGGCAGCATGTTTCTTGTGCTCACCACTCTTCTTCAGCAGCAACTTTATATGGCTGTTAGCTACCAAGAATGGATAGAGAGGAACAATTTTTTGGTTTTAATGTTTTGACAATTGAGAGAAAGACAACAGGACTGCTATTAGTGAAGATGTCTAATGACCTCCTGGTAGAACCTCTCCTTTTAGATTAAATTTTTAATAAGAGATTAACTAACTTTTAGGTCGTGAACTTGAGGGAAATTGCTAGTTAATTTGGAATGGGGACCAATATTTCCTTCCTTTGGGCTCTGGAATAAGAAAGGAGGAGGAGAAAGGGAGAAACTGAGGAGACGTTTTAAGATGAAGACTGGGGACACTATGCTTCTATATGTCATTCAGTTGAACTATAAATGAGTTTTCTTTTCTGTTCTCATCTTGTTACCAGTTGCACCAGTTGTGTACGTACTGTATATAGAAATATGGAAGCAATAAAATATTTTTAAATCAGCGTCATTAAACCTTTTATCTTCTAAATGGATTTTATTGGGAACTTAGGTTAAGGGGTTGGTTATTTTTCAGGTTATTTAATATGAAGCAGGACTGGAAAGGAATTTCTCAAGTATCTTCCTTTACACAGAGAAGTTTATTTCACAAGATTTTTTCAAAGTCTGGTCTTCCTTTTCTTTCCATTTTATTCACTTGAAGGAAAGAAATTGTGTTATTTTTGATATTTTCATTCTTGTCCTGAGCCTTTTGATTATTCAACTTTTGGTACAGAGATTTTTTTCCTTTTATTTATTCAAAATTCAGCTCACTCAAATCCCAGTGAAAAATACTGTATTTTTATGGTGTTTATCAGAAGATTTCAGAGCAATTTATTTATAAAATAAGTAAACTCCGTATTACAGATTAGACTGATCCACAATGATTTTTCTGCTCCTGATATTTTGAGAATCTTGTTTCTCATATATACCATGTTAGGCTGATTTCTTCATTCTAGAAATTTAATGAAAATGTTAGTTGAATTGTTGATGAAAATGAGGATAAAAAGCAGGAGTTTCCATTACTTTTATAAGTTTTCAGTTGTTTTTAATTTCATTTGATGTGCAGCACTATTGCAGTTCTCCTTTACGAGCTTCGAATTCTTGTTTTTCCTTGTTTTACTTGTTAGAGGTAAGCATTTAAAAAATGGGAACTTTGCTTACTAGAAGGGTCTGTATGACTTATGTACGTCCTGGTTTCATCTGGGGCAGTTAGTTTTTCTTTTTAGCTGAGCAGCTAGAAGAGCTCTGGGTTTTGGATTTAGTCTGGGATTCATTATGAGAAGAATGTTGACAGCACACTGGTGTCTGTAGTTGGTGCTGAGACATCAAGGACTTTTCAGCTTCCTGCGTTTTTGCCAGTGTGCAGGAGCACAACAGGCTGGGGGAAAGCGTGGCTGGAACAAAGGGTCCACGACTCCTAACTTGAATTTAGGAATGAGGGCTAAACTGGCCAATGGAGTGTTCCATATCATGCAACATCACTCTTGGTACGTATATAAGGGTTGACCAGGAAGTTGGAAATGCTCTTCTGAGGGCTCTCTTGGACTCTGGGAGTGCGCGTGTGCGCATTTCCCCCCCCGCCCCCCTTTTGGCCTCTCACTCGTCACTCATCCAGGATTGTGGTGTTGGGATTTACCTGTTTTGGGATCGCTTGCCGGGATGGGACAGGTGTTGGTCACCGAGTGGTGAGCAATTACACTGTGCATCACTTGTTTGTATATATTGTTATCATTATATATACATGTTTTCATTTATTATTATTTTATTGTTATTACTTTTGATTTTATATCATTATTATTAAATTGTTCTTATCTCAACCCAGAAGTCTCCTTCCTTTTTCCCCTTTAATTATCTTCCCCATTCCCCAGGAGGTGCAGGAAGGTGAGTGAGCAGCTGCCTGGCGTTTAGTTGCTGGCTAGGTTAAACCATGGCCATGTACTGCTGGTGACACTTCCGTGTATACGTGACAAAAAGGAAGATTTGAAGTCATCTGGTAGGAAGGATAAGGGTACTGGGGTTTTGCTTTGTCCTTGCTGCAAAAGTGTGGATTAAAACGTTGTTCCACTCACAACAGTTTAAGTAACAGCAAAATACTTCAATCACAAATGCATATTTAATTTATCAAGTCCTTCCTTGTGAAGTCCAGATCACTTCTTCATCCTTAGTTTCTACTGGTATGTTTAGACTGTTTGGAAGGCTCTTGTCTGTTGGAAGCAACAAAGGGCTCTATATCTGTGTTACAACTTGTTTTCAAATAATTTTTTTCTATTACATGTATATTATTGAAATGCTTACAATACAAAGAAGGCTCTAATATCTCAAAGAATAAAAAGTTCCTATTAAGGATGGCAAGTTTACTTAAACTATTTCATCTGATTCAGTTTCTGTTGATTTTTATTTGCCGTAACCCTGCATACTTTCTGTTTTTATAGTTGCATAGTAGTTCCCTTAGTTTTTATCTGTTACATTTCCGTGCTGTGTCTTGGGTAGAAGTTTCACACTATGGTTTACAGATAAGAATCACTTCAAAAACTGGTATTTTTTTTCCTGATGATGTGTATTTGGAGGGAAGTGATCTGTGCAAGCAGCACAACCCTGACATGAGGCTTAGCACTGAAGCACACTAATGTTTCCTGTTGTTGGTGTATCAGGACATGTAATAAGAGCTTGTACATAGTCTGGGCTTCCTTCTTTGAGGGCTTTTGCAACTCCACCAGCCAACGGGAAATCCTTAAGCCACTTCATTTAAAAAAGCAGTGTGAAGAACAGAGGAGAGGCAGCTTGGTCATTGCTTGCTTAGCT